CATTTTATGATTCAAATAAATGCGTTTTTCAAGCAAAAAAAACGGACCAAATTAAGTTGTACACCCAATACAACGGAGATTTATCCTCCAGCAGGGTCTACCAAGCTGAGAAGGTTTCCGGCTAGCCGGTGCCCAGCTAATAATAGGCCATGCTGGCCGCCCCACTGTCTGGCTAATACAGTCGGTAGTTCTCTCATCTACATTAGCGATTGTCCGTAGTGAAAGCTTGGCAGGCCCTGGCAGGGCTAAGTTTGAGGACTAATTATGTTGACAGGTGGAAGAAAAGAAGCCCTACACACTGGATCACATAATCGGCGTCAGATGTCATGAACAGTGCAGGACTGCATGGAAAAACATGTCATCGACTCGCCATCGAGATTGTCTCATGCTCTGCACTTACAACGCCAGGATAGTCTCCACGATGCCGATCTTCACACTTCCTTTCCGAAACTGTAGGGCGCATCAACTACGTAATCTTCTTGCAAGAAACAAAGTCTAGGAAGACGGACGTGAGGCGGAGTGATGGCACACTCATCATTTATGGTAAGAAAGTTTCATCACGGAACGTTGGAGGCATGGAAGTGTAGTACACCCATTTGTTGTCCAACTTGTCAATTCCATGAGATCCTATCACCTCTGCCTCCGTCCTCTAATTTTGAAAACTTCACTATCATCAACTGCTACTCTCCAACATCCGCAGCAAGAACTTGATTCTCTTCATGAGCTTTTGGAAGAAGTCATCCGCAAAGAGAAGTTTTTACAAATTTGTCGTGGGTGACTTTAATGCGAAAATCGGGATGAAAGGAGGGAGCATAGGATAGGGAGATTTGGATCAGGATTCCTGAATGGTAACCGCCTCTTTGGGCTCTTATCCGTCGTACGACTTTTTCATGGCAACTCCATCGTTATAAAGTAAAAAACATCGGCAGTGAACATGGAAGTCACTCAACGGCACGACTCATGCGGAGATCAACCAAATTCTTACCAACCGAAGGTGGTGCTCCGGACATTTCAGTGGTAACATCCTTCAGCAGTGGTTCAAACCATTGCCTCCTCCGAGCAGAAGTCATTTCAGCCAAAAGCTGGAAAAAGATCTCTCACCGTGTTGGGGGAAGGAGGGAAGTCGTATGTAACGGTAGCGTAAGTAACGCAGGGACCTTCTCAACTACCGTGTCTCGCTGACAGCATTACTAAATGAAGACGGGACCCGAACATCTTCCCGAAGATGAAATCGATCGCGAAGCGATTTTGCACCGATCTCTTCCGTTCATCGCCACCCGTATCAAAATCTTCCTCAGTGGGAATTACCACTATGGATTCTACCTGCTGCAGAACGCGCCGCAATCTGACCATAAAGGCAGTCACGGCTCCGAGACCACACCATGTTTCGGCCTATTCCTTACAAGCTGGAGGGCTCGCCTACACGAGATACTTGCGGCACACCTGATGTCCTACCTTCAGAAAGAAAGGATCTCGACCAGTGGAGAACCTTCCAATTAATCCTCCTTCATAAAAAGGCAATATGGAGGATTTTTGGAACTACCTATATGTCTGTTCAGCATGCTTAACAAGCTTTTCACAAAGATTATTCTCACTCGCATGTTAAGGACACTGGAAGCCTAACCTGCAGAACAAGGTGGATGGAATCAGCTGCGCGAATCATATCCAGACGATTTCGAGGATTATCGAGGTTTGCCGAGAGTACCGCCTACCTCTCGTCCTAACTTTGTCGACTATGAGAAAGCATTTGACAGCGTCGGTAATGCCGCAGTGTCAGCGCTCGTTGACCAGAGGATAGACCCATTTACATGAGGACATTGGCCGACTGCTACAAACTGCTCTACAACGGCATGCCTCACCGCCCGCCTTAACATACCAATTTTGAAGGGGGTTCGACAAATGACACCGTGTCATCAAAAATGTTTTCCGCTGCCTTGCAGTGGGTGATGAATTTACTGGATTGGAACGAGTGAGGTACGAGTTGATGGGAGATGCGTCAATCTTCGTTTTGCGAACATTATTCTCCTCTCATGGAATATCATTAAAGCAGAAACGGTGTTGGAAGGACCAAACGAAAAGGGAAGAGGATAGGACTACGAATTAACCGGAAGAAGACTAGTTCATGAAGAACGTTTTTTGCGAGGTTCAGGAAATGGAATTAGAAAACTCTGCAATTGCAGAGACGTCTTCTTACGTATATCTCGGACGTTTGATGAACATGGAGAACGGTCTGAGAAGTGAACAGGAAGCAAAGAGCAGCATGGACCGCTCGGGCCCCTAAAGGAAGCCACAAACCGACTGTTGGACCCGGAGCTCCCAGCCAACCCTTTCGGTTACCGTTCTCCGTGCCCTCTGTTACGCAGCAGAGCCATGGCCTGACACTGTGGATACGTCGAACATCCGAACAACCCACGCTGGAACAACGTCTTCTGAATACAATCGACGCACTCAAAATTTCGTCGACTTTGCAATCTAGATTTGAGATCAACTCGTTTTCGCGATCCAACAGAATGTGTCTTTAAGGTGAAACATCGACGAGCTCGTCATATGATGAAAAGGACAGACGATAGATGGACACTAAGAACTTTGGAATGGATCCCGCGCGAAGCAAAACATCCTCGAGAGAGGCCGCATGGACTGACATACATTGCAGTATATACCAGCTAGATTCTCATATGGTAAAGAGCAATACTGGACCTTGCGAACGTCGCCGCCACAGTTCATTATTAACATCGTAAAAGACGCTAGCGAGAGACAGAAACGGATGGAAACAATCTTGCGGCCTGCACGACGAGTGAAGACAGATCATCTAGGTATCTAAGTAAGTATGTAATTTGATTAACGTGGCCTTTGCAAGCTATTACCTGATTGCTCAATTGTTAGACTACGCTCTGCTTAAGCCAGCTACACAGATCAAATAGCACCTTAATATTTAGGCTTCACTCAAATCCAAGAATGCATATTTGCTTTCGATGTGATTGGAACATAAAGGTGAGATATTGCGTCGTGTTTGTTAAGCAAAGCACATTTAAGTGGAGGTGCACTAGAATACTTTCCAGACATGTTTGCAACGGAGTTGTATCCTCTCTTGTTTTAGTAATTACAACACTACATCGTTCGCAGTTTTGAGAGCTCATCTAACTATTTCAAGATCACAATAACGGGTTACAGATCGCAACAAAATGTTTCTCAAAGATAACATACAATGGGGCTATGGTAAGAAATGAACATAGAAGTACAGTGACAAATACTTGAAAAGACTAGATAACTAGGTTGTCATTGTACGAGATGTGAATCTTCAGCACAGTAATGGAATGCTCACTAAGAAAAAAGACACGAACGAGAAGAGCAAGAAAGTCCTCTTCAAATTACTAATAAGTCGAGAAATGAACATATCACATTATGAATAAACTAATGCATTGCAAGATTTCGGAAAGGCTTTGAAATTACATTTTTAATACA